AAGAAACAATGAAAAATTATTAATTATGAAACAATATTTATTAAACAATCATAAAAATACAAATTAATAATAAACTGAAATTATAATACAACTGACTAAAAAACCAAAACTAAACATGACCAAAACTAAACAATAAATTTATCTTATATTCTTTTATATGGCATAAAATAAAGAAACAATGAAAAATTTTTAATTATAAAACAATATTTATTAAACAATCATAAAAATACAAATTAATAATAAACTGAAATTATAATATAACTGACTAAAAAACCAAAACTAAATATGACCAAAACTAAATTGACCAAACTAAACATTTGTAATATCTAAATTATAAATATTACGAACAAAAAACTAGATAAATTATTTTTAGCTTTTTCCATAAAATTTTGTTTAATCATCCGGGAAATTTATTCTTTCTTCTTCTTCAATTCTTCGACGAATTCCTCGATTTGTCCCCAGACGAGCATTTCTAGAAGTTTGTTTATAGGATCGTAATACTTCTGTTATATCTTTGACAAATTCTTGTCTTGTAAATTTCTTGACATGAGATATATTTTTGGCAGCATTTATTATTTTAATATATATTATATAGTATATTGAATATTATACGTACAATATATATTGTATATACAATATATATACAATATATGTACAATATATATGTATAGCATGTAAATATATATATATATAATTACATGCTATACATATACATATAGTAATAAAATAAAAATATTAATGTTATTAAAAATTTTTAAAAATAAATGAAGATTTACTGTAAAAAATAGTCTTTAATTTTGTTTTATATAGAGCCGATTTTGCAATGCCATTTGCACTTTTTTTGCCTGTCCATGAAAAATTTTCAGCTAAATTATTTGTCATTGCTGCTCGAATAAAGTTATTCAAAGCCTTTCTTAAATTTTGTCCTCCGATAAATTCCAGATGTTGTTGCTGTTTTATTAAATATTAGAGAAATTTTTTTTTTATTATTACATGTTAAATTTTATGTATACTGCATATTTTGGTTTACTCACTAAACTATTATGGTTTGAGTCATCATTTTCGAAAGCATCGAAATGTTCTATGCTATCAAGAGGAAAACCTGTTGGAGATTCAAAAATGCTTTTTTTTCTGAAATTGTTTGCATCTATTTTTTTTTCAAGACTATCAATTTGTTTTAAAATATCTGCATTTGAATCTCTAAAAAAGTAAATATTAACAAATTATTATTATTGTTTATTTATACAAAAATGTAATTTAATTCACATTTACCGTAACAATTTTAATTCTTCGAGTATTTGTTTCTCAAAGTGTGTAGCTGAAGTTAAATAATTAATATTTTGAAGTTCGGTGTAAGAAGTGGAAGCAGAAAATGCAGGATTTGCGTCATGATAATTGCTAGTGTTATTTGCAGATAAATTTTGTAATGAAGCGTTCGTATTTATGTGGCAATTTTCATTAAAAGATAAACAGGTATTTCTGTAAAAAGATGATACGGATATTTATTTTGTTAATTATATATTTATTTTTTTATATATTTTGTATATAAATATCAGGGTTGGGTAGTGCTAGTTAAAAAGATAAAAGTTAAGTTAAAAAGTTAAATAATTTTAATTTAACTTTACATTTCAGGCTCTTAATTTTTAACTTAATTTAATTACATTTTATCGGTAACTATTAACTTTTGATCTAACTTTCTTGAAGTTACATTTTTAGTATTTCTTGTAAACGCAAAATAAAATACATGTCTAAGTTAGTGAGATCGGAAGAGCACACG